TCTGCCAGTGTGAAAACTGTTCTTTTAATAATTTGAACGCACTTGACTCCGCCTCAGAGAACTCCATCTTTTTGGCATCATCATATTTTAGTTCCATTGGGCAAAGTCCAGCAAAGAAATCATTGTCATCCTCAGCAAACTTAGCAACTATTGTATTGAATCTCTCCCCTAAATCAGAAACCGTATGTTCCTCAATTTCATCCAAAAATGCAGATGGCTTATACATGAATACCGGTCTTGGTTCTGACTCATTCCTGTCTTCCTTGAGTGATGCTGCACGGTAATTGTCCGGTTTGTCACCAACAATAAGGGTGCCCAATTCCTTGGTCAAACGCATTACATATTTGCATTGTTGGGTAAATATGTCTTCAGGCGAGAATTCATTTACTTCACCCACGAAAGAATATCCACATCTTGAGATCTCATTCAGAACAACTAATGCCGGAAGAGGAAAAACAGGACCCACAAAATCTTCACTGCGTCGTCCTCTGCCTGACCTCTGATTAGTGAAGTGGGAAGGGTCTCTTAGAAAGAAAGGAGGAGACTGGTTTTGGTCAGGAATGACTGGAAAATCCAGAGAAAACTTTTTATGTTCAACTTCAAGAACTTCACTATACTCTGGAAAAGCAACCTCCAAAATATTCATAGGTAAGGAGGTCCACATTAGTCTACTCACAATTTCATAAAGGCTTGTTGGCATGTCAACATCCCTGAAAACATCAGCAACTGAAAGGAATGACATTGGTGGATCACAGCCAAATGACTTTAATTTCTCACCCATAATTATATGGAAACGTTCATTAGAGAATTTCTTTACGCCTGCGGAAGCTGGAATGTTCTTAAATTTGGTAAACAATAGTTTGGCCAGATTACTATTCAAATGATAATTAAGGTTCTCAAGTTTAATGTAGCGGAACCTCTTGGGATATCTATATATCTCATCACCCATAGAGCATAACAAAGAATCTTTGAGAGGATTCACTTCTCCATGTGTGGTTGCCACAATCCTTGCCATTTTCCAAGAGGCGCAGTATTGCTGAGATTCAAGCTTTCCAGTGGACATCAATCGGAAAAGTGTAAAACCCCCATGCTCTCCGGCCTTCGGTAATAAAGAAGAGAGATGCTTGTTCAGAATGCAAAAGCCAAGAACTGACTCCCTTTTCTGTTGCCATTCAATCCACTCAAGAAGATCATCCTTTGCAAATTCCTCCCTCAAAAGACAACTGCCACAGTGGCAATTCTGACCAGCCAACAAGAGAGGTGATGGAAGCTCCCATGCATAAAAAGAATTCGAGAAATTTGAAATTTTACTAGAGAAAGATTTTGCAGTAGCAGGGTGAGGACGGCCATAACAGAAAAGACTGAAATCATTGTTCCAAAATGATCCTAAGATAACAGCAGAGGCTCCTGCATCTTTATCGTGTGGCATGGATCTCAGATCAGACAGAGACAAAACAGTCATGTAACGAGGCTCATGCACATTGTGAGCCCATCTAAGAACTGGCAATAGCGGTTTGCGAACATCACATAAAAATAGCCATTGCTCAGAAGCCACAGTATAGAAGAAACCATCATTTCCAGCCTTTGAAAACACAACAAACTTATCCTTCGCATGCAGGTCACTCACTCCAAGCATGTCAATCCTCAATAAACAGCTTGTTTGACATTTCCCAAATCTTAAATCAACCACATAAATAGCCTTTGAATTTGCCACGACCAGCATTCTCGGATGCCAGCTAAATTCACAACTGAACCACCCACTACCTGCTGATTCACCAAGTTCATCCCAAGCAACTTTGATTCTTTTCCCTTTAAACCTTGTATCCACACAAGAACCCATATCAAACAAAAACAATGCTCCACTTTCTAACAAGATCACACACTCTCCAGGCAGATGTGGATTCCAACAAGCATAAGCCACCATGCTACTTGTGAATTTCTTACTGCCCATAAAAACCAAAGCAGGCTTCTTGGAGTCTAAACAGTGCCCACTAGTTCGAACACTAAACCAATTAGCAGCATACATATTACAAGCCAATAAGAAACCAACACAAGCAGGACCCCCCACATCAGGAAATGTACAATCACTAAGAGAGCACGCTGTCAATTGAACAATCCGATGATCAAATTTAATTTGGGAAGTCAAAACAGAACCATCTGTACTAAAATCAACAACCAATTTGGAATCTCTTACTGATAAAACAAGATATCCAACACAATCAAGATTGGACCCTGTCGGAAAGAAAACAAAAACCTGATCGTTGGGGCAGTATAGGGGCTCAAGACGGTTATGGGGGATATAGTTGGAGCTTCTACAATGCTCTTCAGAGTTTAAGGAAGCGGAAATAGCAGAGGCAACGGTAGGAAGGACGTCATGGGATGTGGAAACTTGAAGGAATCTGGGTAAAGAGAGGTGTGGAGGAGGAGGGATGAAAGGAGGAGAGAGATCAGGCGACGAGAAGAGAAGGGACAAAGACTCAGGGACGGGATTGAAGAACAGCGGTCCCAATAAAGACGGGTTTTTGGTAAGGAGGAGGGGAGGAGAATGAACCGAAGAAATCGGAAATAACGACTTCCATTCTTCAGAGTATTGCATTTTCTCCTGCTTCCTTATTGCATTCAAACAGTGCTGGTACATCAAAGACATCAAACATTTGTTGTAAATTTGACACCAAAATTAAAATTACATAGAAGTATATCAGTATCAAGTATTGCAAAATTGAAATTACATACGAAGTATATCAATATCAAGTATAAGCAATACACACATTAACAAAAGGTAAAATCAGTTCATTACTTAACCAGTGTATCAAAATTCAAAATCAATAGTTCAATAATTGACTAAATCAAATAAAGTCTAATTTTAGTATACATGTAACCAGTTGAGTGGGAGTAGTAAAAATTCGAATTAATAAAGGCTAATTTAACAACAAATTCGAATTCATATGTATGAACCCTAATTTTGGTATACATGGAATTACTTCCTCAAACTTTACAAAATAAAGTAGTACTTGCCTCAATTGCGTCTGGGCATCAGGTCTGAGCTTCAATGGTGAAATTCCAGTCGCAGTGCTTCAATTGGGGTGGAGGAGAGAAGAAGTAATAACGGAGGGAAAAGGGGAAAAATTAACTGAAAAGGGGGTTTAGTTGGTCACATACTAGGTCAACGCCGGCAATGCTAGTCAACCGTCAGAATCCGGGGTTTTATAAGATGGTTTGTAACAATATTACTCCCCCTATCCCTATTTTTTTGCCCTATTTGACTGTGCGCGGTCTTTAAGACGCGTCTTAAAACGTCTATATCTTTATTTTCATATACATAGAAATTATAAAAACATGATATTAATAAAATATACAATGAGACGAATCTAACAAGACCACTCATGACTATATTATCTTTTATAAATTAACGGTAAATTATGGTCAAAGTTTTCAAAGTTTGACTCAAAAAATGGCAATGGAGCAAAAATAAAGGGACAGAGGGAGTATTTAAGAAGAAAAAACCAATTTTAAAGGGTATTTAGGGAAGTTTAGTATGTTAAAAGGTATAAAGTTGAGGTATGTAGGTAATTATAAATGAAACAAAAAATAGAAATAATCACTTAATTTTGGGACACCTAATTCAAAAAACAAGCACTTAATAAAAGGAAGGAGGGAGGACTTAAATTGCAACTTCTATCAAACTTCGGTGACTTGTTTTAGTATCAACTCATTTTAATAACATAATCAATTAAATTACTGAGATAAGATACTCACATTACTGAAAAACTATGTCAAACTGTGATTAAAACTCATATTAATAAAAATTGTAGAAAATTTAAGAAGAAAAACTAAATTGGTGTCTCATTCTTGGTATTTTAACTAATTGACCCTAAACTTACTAAAGTATATTCTTCTCGTTTATGAGCAATAATATAACCACCTTAAAAGAACCCTAAATTGAATTAAAAGAATATTTGTTGATAATTTTTCCCTCAAAAGCTTCTTCAACGAAGAAAAAGCTCAAAAACCACCACAATGACGAATTCAAGGGAGGTGTTTTCTTTTTTTTCTTTTTTTTTTTGTAAAGAAGAAGGATGCTCAAAAACTTGTGTGAACTAGAAATAAGTCCAACCACATCAGACCTAAGAAAATCAGTCCAATATTTGAGTCGAAATGTATAATTATCAGTATTTGGTCCAATCTAGTCAAAAACTCGGTAGAAATAGGCTTATATTGAATTAGTAAAAGTCTTTAGAATGATTAATTTTCTCTTTTACGAAGTATAATGTTTGAAAATAAACTTTACAATTAGTTTTCTTTTAATCCGTATTTCCATTTCCGTACTACTATTCAAAATTCTCAATACTCCGTAATAATTAAATCGATCCAGTCAATTTTGGAATAGATTTGGACCAATTTTATTGATTTGATCCTAGTGTAATCAACATGATCTCGGGTCTTGTTTTCAAATTTTCGGTCTTCGATTTGGTTATGGAACCTACCCTTTCTATCGTTTTAAAAATCATTCGTTTGCCATTTTAGAATTTTACAATATACAAAATATGTATTAAGCCATTAAAATCTTCATTTGAACAAAGGATGTATATTCAAATGAGGTGGACAATATTCTATTTGATTACATTGTTTCTTAAAGATTAATGTGAATCCATGGTAAATTTTTTATTTTTTTTAAAAAAAACTTGACCTCCAAAAATATAATGGGACAACATAAAGGATTTAAGGATGTTGGGAGTAACACCAACGCCTCTCTTCCTCGCTCCCTCCCTCACCCGCTGAACTAAGAGGGAGAGCCGGGGAGGGGAATGTTGCCAATATAGGCATATAGCTGAGGACACTAGTGAGTACTAAGTAGCTTGCTTTGCTGTTCATACAACAAGGCTTCAGCAAATTTCTTCTTTGTTTTTGCATCTCTCAGTCACACTTACTCTTGGTAATGCTTTTCAATTCTGTGCTTTTCAAACGACAAAAAAAAAAAAAAAAAATAGTTTGACAGAATGTAACATAGTAACAGTGTTTATGATGCAATAGTTCCAAATGACAGGCAGCAGCTAGCAATACTATAAACTTCACTACACCAAACAAATATATACACCAAAAAAAACCTAGTTACATTTTCGCCATAGAAAATAGTCAGCTGAAACATTCAACTCACTGCTACTAATCCGTCTGGCTGAAGACGACAACACAAAAATCGGTGTCATAGCCTTTTGACTGTAGTTCAGGTTCCATACAAAGAAGAATTTTGAAAGAGGAAAAAAAAGCCGAAAATGATACACATATACCTTAAATTCTATGCTTCACTTCTTTTTTCCTTTTTTTTTTTTTTTTTTTTTTTTTGGGAGGGGCAGGATCTATGCTGCACAGTGAACCAACTCAATTTCATAATTACATAGGCTTATATAATTTTTGGCATGACAGCCCTCACAGTTCAGTAATCAATCCTGTAACAAACTAAAATTCTAGCCTAACCGTGTGCTGTTCCTTCTAGTCCACCATTTCTTCTTTAATTTGTCACTCACCCTTTCCTCACTATCAAGCTTATGCAAAATTACTTTGGTTTCCCGCAATCTCGCTCCATAATCCTTCTTCCAGGATTCAAACATCTGTTTAAGCCTTCTCAGTTCTCTGTCAGGATTCAGAGAAGCATCTACCTGACCTGACTTCACCTCCACCAAAAACTTGGCATCATCTCCAAATACTTGTTTTCTCTGCTCAAACTCCTCTGCCAACCGACTAATCACACTCAAACTAGCACTCATAGGCCTAACCCCGTTGCTTTCTTGACTTCTGAAGGTAACATCACCGCCAGTATCACCACTATATTCTCTCTCATCACTTGCATTTACTGATGCATCAGAATGCCTGGCTGAATCATCTACTGCAAGGCTTTTCTTCGCAATAGAAAGGCTAGATTGTAGTGATCTCATCTGTTTCTGCCAAACTTCTTCCATAGACTTCATTTTCAATTCGTACTCAGACCAACGGTTTTCATACTGACGCAACCTCTGATGAAGGATCTCATTCTCTTCTTCTTTTTCTCTAAGGGCTGCCTCAGCTTTTAGAACGCGTCGCTGCAACTCTGCAAGGTAAGAGGCCTTCACCAGAACTTCATCTGATTCATTGCCCTATTTGAGACAATAGACAAATGCATTAATTGGTTTATTTAAAATGAAGAATAATAGTTATTCAAATTTATAAGAAGAATCAAAATATTGGGGCAAAACATACTAGCAAAATTGAAACCCAACAAAACCCTAAATAGACACAAATTTGCTAGAGTTGCTACCCAATATCTTACATAAATAACTAGATTGAAGCAGCTCAAGTTCCTTTTCAAGTTAGGATAATAATGAAATTAGAAGGCTTCAATTTGCATGCCCTGCTGCCCAAAACTAGGCACATACTCAATGCAAAGAAATTTTACTACTGGCTGGCTATTGGCCCATGCAGAAAACAATTCTGTCAAAATGTAAAAAAACTAGAATAAAAATACTTACAAAGGAAAATTGCTTAACAAGGAGATCAAATCAAAACAATCAAATAATCAATCATTTTAATAAACTACAGAAAGTTTCAGAAAGAGTGAGTGATTACCGCTTTGTCACCAAAATTTAGCAAGCCAATATTTCCAGAGCATTTTCTGACTAGCCAGCCACGAATAACTGTAAGAGATTTATGCCAAAGGAGCATAAAGGAAAATTATTATTAGTTAAGAGTTTCGAAGAGCATAAATCAAAAGTAGCAATTGGCCAAAAAGATATATCTCCATTTCCGTACATTTAGAGATGAAAGGATAATCAATGATGATGCAGTAAAGACATTAAAGGTTGAATATAGGAGTATCACATAACACCCATCATAGCGTTTGCATTACTCCCTCCGTTTCGTAATAATCACAACACTTTCTTTTCAAGTCCGTTTCATAATAACTGCCAACCTTCCATATTTAAAAAGGAACCACTACTATATTATTATTTCTCTCTCCTACCAACCTCTTTTTATTATTTCTCTCCAACTAACAAATGAATATATCTCCAATAACTATACATGGAAGTAACTCCGCCAGGCCAGTCCCAAGCCTGGATAAAGGAGGAGGGTTTCGGTAGGCCCAACCAGTGTAAAACTTTGTCACATCCATTGACATGAGCCAAACTGGTATTTTCGTGGGGGCGTTCCCTACTCAGCGACGCGCTGCACTTCCTAAACCCGGGTGTAGTGATAAGTATGCAAGGGTTGCTAGGTCGTCGCCCGGAAGCGACGTGCCACATTGCCCGAGTGTGGTGTCAAATGAGCAAGGGCGTGCCATTGGGGCGTTCCCTACTGAGCAACGCGTTGCACTTCCGAGACCTGGTGCAGTGGTAAGTATGCAAGGGTTGCTAGGTCGTCGCCCGGAAGCGACGCGCCACATTGCCCAAGTGTGGTGTCAAATGATCAAGGGCTTGCAGTTGGGAACAGGAGGGAGCGTGGTACGAGTGAGTGTGTTATGAGGGAGCGTGGGAGAAAGGACTCTAGTTTGCGGATTGGTTCTTGGAATGTGTGGTCTCTTACGGGGAAGTAGTGGTAGAAGTGATGAAGAGAAGACGCGTAAACATCATGTGCCTCCAAGAGACAAGGTGGACAGGAGAAGGAGCTCGAGGCTTGATTTTGGGGTATAAGGTGTGGTACGTTGGACAAGAAACCACAGGACTAGGAATGGTGGAGCTAGGAACGGAGTTGGTGTGATTCTCGATGAGAGGTTGTCGAAAGAGGTAATCGAGGTCTATCGGAAGATTGATAGGTTGATAAGGGTGAAGTTGCTATGTGGCAAGGAGATTGTGAATGTTATTAGTGCTTATGCTCCCCAAGTTGGTTTGGATGCAGAAGATAAACCACAATTTTGGGAGGATTTAGACGAGGTGGTACAGGGTGTCCACCACTCACAGAAATTATATATTGGAGGTGATTTAAATGGGCACGTTGGGGAGAGCCGAGATGGCTATGAGAGTGTCCATGAAGGCTTTGGGTATGGGCAGAGGGACGCAGGTGGTGAAGCTATAATGGATTTTGCCCAATCATATGATTTAATTTTGGCTAATACTTGGTTTAAGAAGCGGGATTTAGACTTGATAACTTTTCAGAGTGGAGCAAATGCAACACAAATAGACTTCCTGCTCACAAGGAGCACGGATAGACAAAGTTGCCTAAACTGCAAGGTAATCCTAGGAGAGAGTGTGGTCACCCAACAATGGCTTTTGGTAATGACTATCTGTTTGAAAGAGAAGGCGAAGGAAAAAGGAAGATAGGAGGAGCCAATGATAAGACGGTAGACTCTAACGAATGCAAAGGCTAAGGTTTTTACAGAAAAGGTAATTAAGGAGGCGGATTGGAATGGAGAGGTGGATCCAAACATGACTTGGTTACGAATGAAGAACTGTTTCCTGAGAGTGGCCAAAGAGGTCTTAGGGGAATCAAGGGGAAGAGCTTGATACTTCGTGGTGGAATGAAGAGGTGAAAGCAATAATTAAGCAAAAAAGAGAATGCTATCTAGCCTTAGGAAAATGTAGAAGTGACGAAACCTTTGCAGCGTATAAAGAGGCTAAGAGTAAGGCAAAGGCAGTTGTTCGCCAAGCAAAAGAAAAGGCTTATCAGGAGGTTTATGAAAAGCTTGACTCCAAGGAGAGAGAAAAGACCATTTATAAGATGGCAAAGAGAAGACAAGAGACAAGGAAGAATATTGGCATGGTGAAGTGTGTCAAATATAAGAACCAAATGGTCCTAGTACAAGAGGAGGACATCAAGGTGGAAGAGGTACTTCGATGAATTGTTTAATGGAAGTAATGGAGTTGTGACAAGAGATACCTCCGTGAGTGATGAAGATATCAACATGGAGTACGTGCGGAGGATTAGAAGAGTAGAGGTGGAGATTGCACTGAAGAAGATGAAGCCTAAGAAGGCGGTTGGCCCCGATGGTGTACCAATAGAGGTGTGGAGGTGTTTGGGTAAGATTGGTATTGATTGGTTAACAGACCTTTTCAACAAGATATGGACGGCTACAAGGATCCCGTAAGATTAGAGGAAGAGCACCTTGGTCCCGGTCTATAAAAACAAAGGAGACGCTCAAGATTGTTGTTCTAACTATCGAGGGATCAAGCTTATGAGCCACACTATGAAGTTGTGGGAAAGGGTGATTGAACATAGGTTGAGGGCATGCACAAGCATTTCGGATAACCAATTTGGTTTTAAGCCTGGGAGATCTACTATGAAAACAATCCATTTGATAAGACAAATGATGAAGTTTTATAGGGTAAAGAAGAAGGATCTTCATATGGTCTTTATTGATTTAGAGAAGGCATACGACAAGGTGCCAAGAGAGATACTTTAGTGGGCAATGTTGAAGAAAGGTATCCCACGAAGGTACGTGGACCTGGTTAAGGTTATGTATCGGGATGTGTCAACAAATGTGAGGACATGTGGAGGGTTGACAAAAGATTTCCCTATTACAATCGGATTGCATCAAGGGTCTGCATTAAGCCCTTTTCTTTTTACAACGGTTCTAGATGAAGTAAATAGACCAATTCAAGATGAGGTTCCATGGTTTATGTTGTTCGCAGATGATATCGTTTTGGTGGATGAAAATAAGAATGGGGTTAACGCTAAGTTGGAGCAATGGAGGCAAAGGTTGGAATCTAGAGGGTTTAAGCTAAGTCCGAGTAAGACTGAATATTTGGTATGTCGTTTTGGTACTTAGAGGGGGACAAGCAATGAAGTGGTGAGTTTGGATGGAAAAGATTTGACCATGACTGAATGCTTTAAGTATCTTGGGTCAATCATCCAAAAGAATGGTGACATTGATCAAGACGTAGCTCACAGGATTAAGTCGGAGTGGCTTAAATGGAGAGCGGCCACAGGAGTGTTATGTGACCGAAGCATTCCCTTACAGTTAAAGGGAAAATTCTACAGGACTGCCATAAGACCAGTGTTGCTCTATGGTACAGAATGTTGGGCTTCTAAGAAGGAGCACATTAAAAAAATGAAGGTTACGGAAATGCGCATGTTAAGGTGGATGTGTGGGAACACTCTAAGAGATAGAATCAGAAATGAGGTTATTCGCAAGAAAGTAGGTGTGGCAGACATTGCAGATAAACTAAGGGAAAATCGTCTGCGTTGATTTGGGCATGTAAGACGGAGACCCGAAGGTGCACCGGTGTGAAGAGTGGAAGAGTGGGACCATGGAGGGGTTAAACGAGGGAGAGGGAGACCGAAAATGACTTGGTTGGAAGGAGTTAGAAAGGATATGAAATGTATGGATTTGCATGAGGATGAAGCATTGGATCTGGAGGAGGAAGATTTATGTCGATGACTACACGGAATAATCAAATTTGGTTCATGTTAGCCGACCCCACTTATGGGATTAAGGCTTCGATTGATTGATTGAACTATACATGGAAGTATATTATAAAATTCCCCCTATGGTCCCTACCCTATAATTTTCCTTAAACTTTGTGCAATGCCTAGTGTTGCGATTGCGATTATTATGGAATGGAGGGAGTACCTTTTTCTTACCATCTGAATTTCCCCTAGCCACCACTCAGTATAAGGGGAAAAGAAGAGGCAAATTACCTACACTACATGGTCCACTTAAACTATATATTAAAAAAGGCAATCCAATCAGAACCAAAAAGAACTGAATTTACCTGATTGTATCACTATCGATGCATCAGTTGCTTCCAAGAATTGTTTTCTCGTAATCTGACCCTTTATTTGTTTCTGTATAGTTATGGCAGCTCTCTGTCTCCTAAGTAAGACTGCAAATTCCTTCCTGGTTTTCTCACCGCGAATGACTGCCAAACCAATTTAAATAATTCATTCATCAAATCCTGATGTGTTAAACAATTCAAAGCATGGTCTTAATACTCATATTGTCTCATTCTCATCGGCTTTCAAATAGACTCATAAACATAAAATGTGAACAGTGATAACAGAACATCTCTATTTTCATGCTAATACAGATAGTTGACAAATAAGTCCGAGGAGAAATATTACATGACTGAAGTGTGCAAATTCCTCTTTCAGTTTCTTTCACAAGGCACCGAGCCTTGTACCCTCTGAAACAGCTTTGAACACGTAAAATGCCATGAAGCGTCCGATTTCTTGTGTCCTCAAGCACTCCAATCTGAGCATTAAATATACTTCTGTTAATATGGTTAACAATCACAAACAGGTTAAAAAATTATGAAGATAAACAATCCTCATATTTCCCGATTCTTGTTCAGGAGGTTTAAGATATGTTAGGGGGAAAAAACCGTCTATCCAAAGGCCTTCCCTTTCCAAACTGCAAGAGAAATACAGTAAGCAGAATTCTCTACAACCTTGGACTTTCATTGTTTCTCATTATACCACTACCGAAAACAAGCCTTACTTTTTGTAAATGGTAATTTGTGACTTCTTTTTTCTTATTGGTATGTTTAGTATAGCATTAATAATTAATATATTGACCATATATCCTCACGTAACTACATGAGGATAAAGAAAACCGTGAGGACTGAGGTCAGGGTCCTCCTTACCATTTAAAGATAAAATATAAAAAACTACATGAGTAGTCTTTCTATCAAGTGACTGAAAAAGAAACTACTTTTTTTTTTTTTTTTATCACGTAAGATAATCCTTTCTTTATTTAAGTAATACAGGGTACTATAATTACTATTAGAAGGCAAACCGTGTATTTTAACAGAACATAGCCTTATATAAACCTAATACACCCACCATCCACTAATACTTGCTCATGTTTAAGGGGGGAAATAATGTATACATCATTAATTACAATGCCTCACAATTCACAACCACCCAATCACCATTTAGACTTTTAAGATCAGAATGTCCATCTATATAACTATTATTACTATTAAAAACTTGACAAATATTAAAAAGCATCTAGACAAGAAAATTGTCACTAATAATATTGGATGGAAGCAGTAACAATGACTCAGATTAATTTAATTAAAAAACGAACAAAGGGAAAACAAAAGGGTAATCTTGCCTGTCCTGTTCGGAAGAATAGTTTTGTGTAACCAACTTGATACAAATCAGGTAGGATATTGAACTGATGAAGAATTGCAACTGAAACACTCAACGGATCTTGAGATGCAACACTCTCCAGAAGAAGAAAGCCATACCTAAATCAACAACAAAATGAAAGTTAACTATAATTTGAGAGCTGTAAATGGACAAAATATTGGGAGCTATAAAATTATTACACACGAGAGATCTACACCTTCTGGCAAACTTCTGGTGTGTCATTCGGGTAGGAAAGCCCGACCTTGAAATTCTAACTACTTCAAGGACACCACAACATCTTAGTTGTTGTAGTACAAGTCCTTGTTCGTATATTCCAGGAGACTGCAAGTTGTTTGGTTTAATGCATCTGATAAAATGGGGCGTTGTGCTTTCCAGACGTTGCATTAGCTGGAATAGTTGACCCTAAGTACACCATACATGCAGTTAGAATAGTTGAGCAGCGAAATATAAGCTTATACTAGCAGTTTTTTTGTTCCCTCTACCCCCAAAATAAAAAGAACAGGTCATTACTAAGAAACAGGCATCTCACTCTTTTTGTCATCATTGCAAATTCTTAGATGTAAGAAATGAGCATAGTTTGAAATGATACTACAAAAGAACTTCAACTAAACTTATACACAACCTGCGAAGTTAAAACAGCCTTCTGCCCTTCATGGTCAATTAAAGATCAAGGGGCAAGTTACTCAGACCTTGAGTTATATAAGTTTAGTTTGATACTGCAATCAGAGTAACCAACCTCCCCACCAATGCTACATTAATTCATAGCAAAGAGACAGGATATGTACCTTAAATTTTGCTGCGACACTCAATTTTTGCGAATCAGCTCCCCCTGATTTGAATAAAGGACCGACAACAGGCTTTTCTGACTGTACAAGCATGCTTGATGCAAACTTTTGTGGGAGGGAAGTCTTACAAGAAGACAGAAGTTGAACAGAGTCCAAGTGCATCAAATCTCTGTTCTTCTCCAAAAATCCTGTTGTATCATATGAAACCTGCAAAGTGAAGTAACATCACACCAATGATATATATCAGCAGATAGTCATAAGTAACAACCTAAGATGCATCCCATCTATTCTTCTGGAAATTAAGATATATAGTCCTCCCTTCCATAACATTGAAGAGAGAAATGAGTGATTTTATCACAAATTTGCTTAAGTAAATCATGAATAACAAGAGTATGATTATGACAAAAGGAACAACTTGCTAACATTCAGCATTTTCAAAATACAATCACAATTGATTGAATACAGCAAACGAAACTAAAAGAATTTAACTGCTCATTACCTCTCCTGCATAATGAGACACAGTAAAAGCTTTCTCACGCTCTCCTTTGAAACATGAGTTGGACTTCAAATGCTGCTTAAGCTTATTAGCAAAACTAAGGTCTGTGCCATTCGGAAAGGTGGACTCCTCATCAAGTAGAGACAGCAGCCCAAGAGGTTTCTGCAAAAAAGACGGGTCATGCTCCAGTAGAATTTACATGAAATACAAAGTACATTATTTGGTTTTTTGCATAACAAACGGGATATTCAACAGAATGTGTCGTCGCAGTCAAAATTTAATATTAACAGTCCTTTAAGTGTTTCAGCTTCAAATGAACAGAAATATAGATATTACCTTTTCAAACAGATTAAGACAAGCTTGGTTGTCTTCAAATTCAACTTTTGTCCAATCAATTCCATCTTGAATATATTCCTGGATTAAAATCAATAAATAGTCAGGTATAGTAATATTATTGGTATGTATGGATATATGACATATGCCAAATTTCATTCTCAGAAATCAGATAATTCACTAGTATCATTATCATTACTAACAACTACAGGTTGATTAATGTACAACGATAACGAAGCAAGCCATAATCAACCACCCCATCACACTTTATTCAGAAAATCATCATCCCCTTCAGGGCTTCAATCACATATGGGCATGGTTTAGTGGCATGCAAACTTCGGCAGAAAGGAAGTAATGCCTGACCTTAAATTTTATAGAGATACATTTACCTAATAAGGAGTTTGGTATATCCAAACTTTCCTTACAAACTAACCTCCTGCTCTAATTTGAACAGATGACGATTGAAGTGCTGCTGCAGTCTCTCATTTGCATAATTGATGCAGAACTGCTCAAAGCTATTTCTCTGAATCAAAATATATAATAAGTATGTTGAAGTTAGTTAAAGAAATGAAATAGAAAGTTAAGTGAGAACAACAGAAGCCCAGGGGGAAAGAAAACATAGATAGGAAGGTTAAGCAAAAACAACAAAAAATCGGTAATAATATTTTATTTTTTTTTTTTTAAAAAAAAAAAACGTACTTCAAATGATTCAAAACCATATATGTCGAGAATGCTGATGGATTTTCCAGTACGCCTTTTTCCAACACCAAGAGACTTGTTGATTTGTTCTACGAGCCAATCAAACAAGCAGGAATAGATAGATTTCGCCAATGCATCACGAGTATCAATTGCCTGAAAAAGAAAGTACAGATCAATCCAAAAATCCAAACTCATTTTACATGCTCTAACAATGTCATTTAGAATATATTAAAATTTAAAATGCAAAAAGACACAACTCATTGAATGCCCAGCAGGAACTTAAGATCAGATAAGGGTCAGGCAAAACATGACAAGAAGCACAATCCCTCATCTAATCTGTTAGACTGAAAACTATTCACCTAATGTTCAAATCTGTTTGATCTCATGCTTAATTCATCACATATAGTCCTTTATGCTTGGCTCTTTTGGTATCTATAGTTTAACCAAACAGCTAGTCTCATGTATTCAGGTCCGAAACTCCAAATCCAATGGAGACAACTAGTTGGTACCAAACTTCCTATCTTTAGGCAGATACAAGCAGAGATGCAACAGATGTAAACCTGTAAAGTTACATAATCTGTTCAACATTAAATTGCAAAGATTTGGATATAGTTCTGAAAGATATTAATATGTTATAAACATCAAAATTGATCAGCCAAAAATTCACTAATAAGATTCATAAAAATGTTATCCTATATCCAATCAGATTAATATAAATCCCTCCAATCCATGTCATTTTATACTCTTACAATGATGTCTCAATTTCCAAAATTTGAGAACTGATTTTACTTCATCTACTCGTTAGTATGGATATCAATTACGACAATTAGTGAAGCCACTGTACGATCAAGCTTTCAAACTAAAGTGGCATGATCTTACACTATCAAAGTGAAGTAATTGGTGGTAAAATAATGTCAAGTTTCTCTTGTTAAAATGTTGAATGAAATCTCATTTCTTAATACGCATTATATTATGGTGTGAAAGAACTACTTCTCGAATAGACTCATTATAATGAGCCTTGCATCTCAAGCATCAAAACCATCTGTGTTTTTAAAATAATAACAATATACATTTTCCATTATGTCAAGTCAGTAGTCAGTAACGATAATGCAGGACCAAGGCTTTTTACACCTGATATCCTCATCACAACATAGGCAAGAACTTCATAAAACGAGACAGGGTGATGATATGGTAAGCATGTAATTGGCAGTTAGCTTTGTGTAATGAGTTGGGCACTTGGGATCGACCTTATGTGGACAAAGATTGTTCTTATGACATGAAAAGGAAGGAGTAAGCAATGCGGAGGATGGTTCTGTGGCTTGGGCCGTTAACAGAAAAGAAAGAGATCCTAGTTTCTCAGAGAGCAAAGCCTAATTGTGTCAAGAGTCAAGTTTTTTCAATTTTCAAACTGTTGTATAGCTGAAGTCAATTGTTATATTACAAGCAGCAGTTGAGTTGAGGGCATTAACTCTAGCTCTCCTTTTTATCTTGGATAATACCCTCTCTATCATTTATCATAAAAAAAATAAAAAATTAAAAAAAATTAAAATTAAAATAAAAAAAAAGTTGATATGGTACAGTATGTGCTCGATCAGCTTCTTTGTAAATATAGCTTACTGCTCCCGCTAATGTACTTTTTTTAGGCCAATACTTTGACAATCCAATTTAGTATAACAACAGCATGCAAGACAGACCATAAATGGAGCCAAATGTGAGATAAAAGATGGAGTAAGAATGAGAACCAATATAAAGAGCCAAAGTGTCTGGATTCAGAAAGTTCACTTAAATTGATTTTTACCTTAATTACAGGAAAGGAATACATTAATAATTAGAGACATGTGTATAAAAATACTTTATCTTCTTTTGTTTCGGACTATGACTCACTAGATATATCGTAACTCAGTAAACAATATGCACAACGCACTTCTAATTTCTTGTGAAGTAATAGAGATCCCTTGCATTTTGGAATTTGGATCATATTGTGCGGCCTTGCCTTAGCAAGAGCCTAAGATACCATGGGGTTGTGTTGATGTCAATGTTCTAAAGAAAGAAAATCATTTACCTGAGATAGCTTCAGCTTCTGAACAATTATGTCATTTCTAACTTTCATTTTTCTTGTAGACAAAGCAAGCTGTAACTCCTTAACTTCACAACCAATCAATTTTGCCACAGTAAGCAGAGCTGGAAAAGGAAGAATAACAAAAGTGGAGTTAAAATCACAATCAAAACAAAAATTCTTACAAGCACATTACATAAACAATAATTTTAGGTGGTGGATAAGAAAATAGGTTTTTTTCCCCCCTGTTCGTAAGGGTGTAAAACAGGTTCTTTATGGGCCAGAAAAGACCCACTCTCTGCATAGTTGTTTTAATTTGTTTTCTTAAATAATTTTCCTTTCAAAATTGATTTCTTGAATGGTGTTACTTGTACAAAAGTGGTAAGATTATCAATGTATTACCATAATGCGCGGAAAAATTGTATGAATCAAATGCACAGATTATCAAATTCTGGTTCATGTTCTTTCTGGGTTTAAACTTTAAAGATATCTGAAAAAGAAGAGTTTCACAAGCTATGATTGACATTCCAGGACAAGCTTACCCTCATCGGCCACAGGTTCTACATGATTTTCATTGTCAATGATCGTAAAAGAGACATTTCCTAGCCACAAGACCGCAGCAAGCATTGCGAATGCACTCTCTTGGTCATCCTTTGTGACATGAACTACATCCAAAGCTTCCTGAAAATGATGCACATAAATAACAAGAGCAAAGTCCAGGGGCCTATCAACATATTTCAAAACATCCAAAAAGGATCAAAATCACTTTTACAATTAAAAATTTTGAAAATCATTTTTGAACAAGGAGAAAAAGACTACCGTAACAATACGAAATTGTTCAGCATCATCCACACCCGTAATGGTGTAACTGCTCTGCATCAGGTATTTGTAATCCTCAACACTCTTCAAATTTAATTTTTCTGTGTGTCAGGAAGAAAAGGATATTGAATATATGAGATTTACAACAAATTGATCATAGGAACAGTACATCATGACATTGCAAGCAAAACAGCAAAATGGTCACAGGTAATGACTTTTTTCAGAAAACAGTGATAACTCAGAGGATCTTCATGCAACCAGACCAAAATGAAATTGGCCGTTCAGAATTTGGAAATTTTGTGTACACGCTGAGGGACTTAAACTTTGGGAAGTCCAATAATACAGCTGAGGGCTCAAAGTGAAGGATGCATACTGTCAAACTTATAATAGCTGATTGAAGCTCATCATATTTAAATAATTCACGGAAGTACAAGTAACTGCAAAATTCTATTTCACTCAACTAATTTCAAGATTTGAAAAATCAAACAAAAGAGTAAAATAGATATGAATCATATGATAGCAAATCACATACATTGACACCTATGATATGAGTCCAAGATCCTAGAATGGATTATTCATAAATGCACGAGGTGACAGGCTTGATCTGAATTATTTTTTATTTATTTTTTTTGGTTATTGTTGTAATGAGACACTAAATACATTAGGAAAACAAGAGTAAAGTTGACATTATAGAGGAGAAATTTGGCAGACAGTGCCCTACTATTAAGGCTTTGACTATTGATCATGGTAGGCCTTACCTCACCAAATCATAAATAACATATTCAGTTCTTTTCATCTGAAACTACTAATCTGAACTGGAACTTGTCTACCCAATTAAACATGTTCCTATATTGTATGCAAAACCGGAACACTTCACACAGAAATGTAGAGAAAGTAAAGATCTGTAAAGACTGTTAACAAATAACACCTACAGTAAAAAGATCAATACAAGGGAAAACACAAAAAAGATGGAAAAAGCATAAGGGCAAACATACCTCTAAGTGCAGCTGGAGCTCCAGCACAAAGTTGATAAAATATATGGTACGAACGTTCACCTTTAGCACATTGCACCACTCTGGACTGTTCATAAATGAGGTCACATCAGAAACTAGGATTTTTAAGCAAATTAAGGCAAAGAAATCAGCAGAAGATGAGCGAACCTTTTCAAGTAGGACTGCATCCACAAAACAAATTATGTGATGAGAACAAAGGACAAAAGGTTAGTAATAGTTGAGTATGAATGTATCAATTTCAAATATCATTGAGAGTAAACAAACAAACAACCAGATAAAAAGGCAAATTCACAGAGCTATCATCAAACTTACAAGTTTGGATCTTTGCCCCAGAAATTTTCCCAGTCTCGCTGAAGAGGATCTCAATCAATTTTCCCTGATCCAAGTTAAATGATGTAAATATTGCATGCTCTCAATAGTATACCTGCCCATTATAAATTTTGAATCCTCAAAATTAAAGACATTACTTACAAATCGACTTGAGTTGTCATTTCGTAAAGTCTTAGCATTGCCAAAAGCTTCTAAAATGGGATTTGTTTTTAATATTTCGTACTCTATTCCACTACCACCTCCTAATGCAGCTAAATACTGCATAGCTATCTTTGCTGTTTCCGTTTTTCCTGCTCCACTCTCACCACTGCATAAATATGTAATGAGTTTCAGTAGCAATAAGTTGAGTGCTCTCATCACAACATTTTGTCCATCTTCATTTAAATTCTAAACTTGTCCTTGTTATCTTTTCACTGCAAAAGGATACAACTCTGTTGCTCCACTCAAAAAGCAGACAAATAAAAAATTTACAAGGTGCTTGCCAGTGATTTTGTGAAAAGGAAGTACATAGTCAAATAACTTCAAGCATACTACTCCCTTCGTTCCACCATACATTTCATAGTTGACTTCAAACAAGTTTTAAGAATTACTAAAATTGATAAGTTGATTTTAAAGCAAATAGTAGGATAAATGGTGAGAATTGTAAAAAATGACAAGGTTAACAAAGAAAGAGGGTATATTGGAAATTATGGATTACTAAAATTGATAAGTGAATTACTAGCTATGATAACTGGGCCTAAACAAAGAAATTATGCTGATCATCTTGCCAAATAATTCAGGACCAATGATGTTGACCAATTGAAAATGCTGGAAAAACTGCACATCGCACATGAATTACATGAAACAGAAACTAAAATTGCGGATGAAAACAAATTAATTGACCTGGTGTAGAGTAGTATGTAAGATCGTAATAATATGAGCAAAAAGATTAAGAAATACAAATGTGCAATAGAAGAAGGTCAAACAGAAAAGCAGAAACAACTATGAACTGGAAAATCAAATCAATGCTTTAGCCCCCCATAAAACCATTTATTGACCTGCTTGCCAACATATAGAAACCTTCAGAAGCTCAAATCACAAGACCTCAACAGTACACAAACATCATTAATAAAAGAGGGAGAAGAAATAATTGATTAGGTGATGCAAAAACTAATCTTGATACATACGAATTCCAAGAACACACAAGTTTGAAGATTACACCCACCTTATGATAATAGACTGATTCACTTCATCTGTCAACCAAAAAGAACAGAATATTAGAGATACATAATATGAGAGTAATTTTTTTATTAAATGTACTCATCTTACGCACTAGATAAAGGATGTAAAAGGAAAAAGGCAATCACCTCGTTTCATTTCCCGAAGGGCTGTGTCTGCAATTGCATACACATGCGGATTCTGAATGGATTTACGCTGATATGCTTCAATATATTCATTTCCATATAGTTGAACTTTCTTGAAAGGATTGATGGCAACTAACACAGGGCCTGCTTTAGTCTAACATACAATGAAATAAAAGTTGTGAGGAAAAAGAAAACAAATACATATGCTTTGCCAACAGTTAACAAGAAAAGGACTCACATAAATCATATCTCTATCATATCTGTATTGAAGATTGTACAGAACTGTTGGTTCACTCAGATAACTTAGTTGCATTAGATCATCCACGCCATCAAGGATATCAGGGTTTGCTGGTAATAAGCAATCATTTTGCACCTTTAAAACCTAATGATGGAGGCCAGGAAGAAGATTAATCAACATGGAAAAAGTAATTTTCAAAGAAACTCCATTCTCAGATCATCAATTACCTTTCCTTCTGGTAGAGAAATGATACTTTCTGTTACCGAAGCAGATATGATCTTTCCAAGCTCCCAGTTCCCATCAGAGAGTTGGTACCAAGCCTGAACATTCTGAAAGAGCAAAGTTCAACAATGAGTACAAAGAAACCTTATCATATGGATTCCACCAACAAAAACCTGTGATATCATTAGATGATGACTAGACATAAGCACATAACATAACAATCACAACAACAAAGACTATTGTTCGTGAATATTATACAACAGCTATATGTCTCATAACTTGGTTCATGACAAACGGAAAATTCTCTAAAAACTATTGTAACAAAATAAAGACTCAATATTCATTCCTCAAATAATAAAAGTAATTATATAGGAACTAAGTAAAATTCTAAATTGTACGGCACAAAAGATAAGTATCTGATAGACTCCAAAGTAGATTAAGTGAGACATCAGTAAGGAATCGAATAGTTAATGGAACCAGCACACTACCAAGTGTGAGGAAAGAAATGTAATCCAAAGAAAACTTTTACCTCGAAGGTATTGCCCAGACTACATGGTGGCTTGACATTTAGGGTACATTCTTATTAAGCCAGACTAGCCCTGAAACCCTTTTTACAAGGTGAACAGAACACACCCCTATTATTATCAGAGATGTGGCTACGTTAACAATGTACCAGAAATTCAGAACAGCAATGAGTTAGGCTATGTTCAATTCATCTCATCAGATGTTATCTAAATTTATCTAATATGATCTAAATGGATGTGGTCTGATCTGATTTCCTAATATGAATAAACATTACCTTATTTGTACACAAATCCTTGAGGAAAAAAAAATATTATCAAATGAAAGGTCAATGAAAGATATTAAGCGACAAGGTAATAAATGAAGTTCAGGTTTATCTTATACTGAACCCACATAACTAGTAAAAAGGGTATTCATAAACTGGATGCATGATACAGCAATCTAGGCTCAGATGATACAAACCAAAAAGAGAAGCAACAAGATTAATTATTTCTACAATTTTCTTTTTTTTTTTTTTTTTTTTTTTTTGAAGAAGAAGAATTTTACCTTTTCATGTTACAATTTTCTTTCCTCCCGCATTTAATTCACAATTGTTCTTCATATGTCAAGTTTTACTACAAATAATAATCCTTAGGAAGAGGCAATCAGGGGTAACATTCAATATAACAAGCCAAGTGAAAAGCAAATTCAAACAAACCAGAAGTTTCCTTTGTAGTTTGTACAGTATTAAAAGTTAAGCTGATGATGTAATTTGAACTATTTATGTGACAATTACATATGGACAAAGGGAGTACAACAAAGTGGCTTCTCCATTTTAAGCCTAGAAAGCAATGATACTATTGACATAAGTGGCACCAATAGCAGGTTTGCAACAATGAGATGACTTATAAGCATCCTGATCGTAAGTTGGGAATGCTACCACAGATTACAAACTTACAAAGAACAAGCAATGCATTTATTATCTCAAAGAAATGAAATTAAAGATTGGAAAACATGAATCCAAAGCTAAGCTTCACATTATCAGTAATCACTACAGTTGATCAAGGAAACTTAAAAAAAAAAAAAACAATTACTATACATGACTCATTAAAAGACATGCTATCAAAGAGCAGGCAATATACCTTCTTCTTTGCATAAGAAGCAGTGTCATTCCATTTTGAGTCAGCAATAGACGGGACCGAAGGCAAAGGCGAAGAACCGATTTCAGAATCTTCATCCAACACAGGCACAGCCCTCTCCCCATAAGGTGAATCATCATTAACCTGCTCCCCTTGGCCAGCAACATATTCAACCCCCTCTAAGTTATTATAGTCAGAATCACCCCCATTTGATTGCCCCTCCTTCTCAGATGACTCCATCAACCTAATTCCGGCGGGCAACGATTTAATAGAGTTAAAAGAAGGTGGTACCCGGCCCTTGGGCGCCTTCTTACCCGACGAATTCCTCGATCCTGAGGATGAATGAGTCCCAGCAGGTGCCATATTATGCTAAAAGATCAATAATTCCTCAAAAAAGAGCTTGCTTTCTTTCAACAAAGGGACTTCAATTATCAAACTTTATCAGAAAGGACCCACTTCGATCACTTATCTGGTGAGCACAATAGGGGACCTTCTTCAACCTTTCAGTAGTCTCCTTTAATCAAACCCCACAATTTGTACACAAAATTAATATGCAGAAAATTCAATTTCATATAGTTTAACCTCAATTTGACCCACTCTTATACTATATATTATACAACTACCTGTCCCACCAACATAAGATGCAAACACAAGCAATGAGGCATAAATTATACTCCACTATTCCCAAATACCCAGAAAAATTCTTGCAATTCCCAATAAAATTGGATAAACAATTGAATCAAAAAATGATTGCAGACTTACAAATTTGGAGTCTCAAATATTGCCTTGATCAAATACCCACCAAAAAATCAACCTCTGTTTGGACCAAATTAGAACTAAATCTTTTGAAACAGATCTCAGAATTCACAATCTGACAGTTAACAAATAGAACCTGGGTTTCACCAGCAAAAATTACAGCAATTTGCTTCAAAAATTACCCACAAAATCAGGATAATTCTTATACCCAGAAGCAAAAATCCAGCAAAAAGCAAAGAACAGTGAAAAAACTGAGTAGATTGTTGAAAATGTAACTAGGGAAATTATATAAAACTAGAAAGAATGAGTAGAAAATGAGGGAAGAGTAGAGTTGAGGAAATCCAAGGCGTGTAGGATTTAGCAGCTTATTTTGCAATGGTTTCTCTTTCTCTCTCCTCTTTCTACTAGTGTTGAATTCAGAGGAATTGTAAATTGGGGAAGTTGATTTGAAAATATTAAAAAGAAAGACACAAAATTTTTTTAACTTGTGTTTTTTATTCCTGGTTTACGTTTCAAATCTGGTGATTCTGAGATGCGTGTAATCATGCCGGCACCTAAATCAAAAATTCAAATTTCTTCTGTAGGAAAGTGGAGGTTATATTTTTGGTAGATTACCCTTTTGTTTCTTTTCTGAAATAAATAAAGCATTAATACAGTATTTAATTGATTCGGGTCTCGAGTAATTAAGTCTCGAGTCTCGACTTAAAATTTTGAAATAAATAAGTAATTAAGTCTCGAGTCTCGACTTAAAATTTTGAATAAATTTTGAATTTGTTACTCAAGGTGTAATACTAATGTACTTCGTAATAAAGGTTGTTCTATTTGACGTGAAAATTTTTTTTTACATTGTTATACAGTAGCAATAATATTATTGGTTGTTAGTGCAGAGTATTTAAAATGTTTGTTGGGCTCATAATTCATTGGCTTGAATTTGCCTTCAACAAAGCTCAAATTCGAAAGTTATCTTTTGAGTTGAGTTTGAAGGGAATGATGCGGTTTGAGTCGAATTTAAGCATAAGCTTGAGCTTAGTGAAGTAAAATTAAACTAAGTTGAGCATGTTGGTGTTTGACTTAACTTAAGTCCAAACCCTACAAATGGGTACCCTTGTTCCTTAAAAAAATTGTTAGACAATATCTTAATTTTTATGTCCTTGTAAATGGCAATCATGAGTTAATAAAGAAATTCTATATACAGTCCTTAAAAAAAAATCTATATACGAAGTACTTTTGAAATGAAAGTTTATCCACAAATGATCTTACATGCAATACGATGTATCTATTACAGTAATAAATATTCATAAAGGAAAAGTTATGCTTTAAAAAATCACAAATAAATTTGATCCCTCCAACCAAATGAATCTATAAAAAAAATATAAGATTAAATAATATTGTATATATTGGGAATATATTGCAGAGAATTATTTTTTTTTTAAACAATATTGCAGAGAATTATGAAGAAATTAAAAACATTAATTAATCAAAGTATGATTTTTTTTCTTAATTTTTTTATTTTTATTGAGGATTTATTTATTTATATATATCATTTTTTGTGGTTTGTAAAATTTTGGACAAAGCTAAGTTTATTTTTTTTGGCAATATTGTTAATACCTTTTAAACCCTAATATTGAGCAATGAGCATCACTCAAACGAATTGCTCTATACATGCACCACACCACACTCCACATGGTACCCCTAGTTTACGAGTCCTTATTTTTATTTTTATATATGTTGACAAATATGGCTCTCAAAAATCATAAGAAGAAAAAATATAAAAATTCCATGAAATAAAAATGTGGGTGGCTTAAATTGGTAAATCATGGTCAAAACTAGAAGACATTTAAGGGTTGAATGGTGTCTGAAAAGTCCACCACTCCACCTATTACGACTGGTTCATGAAAATTGAAATTGAATTACGTTGTTTTTTGACAAATTCCATTTAATATATTAGACAACCCAACCCATTTAATGCCTAACATACATTTTCCATGATTGTGATAGCTTATCATATCACTTATTTGCTCCTATTTTTCTCATTGACAAATGAGTTTCAATATAGGAGTATTATTATCAATTTGCTAGGAGCATCTAACTTATAATTGTACCATAAGGAGTATTATTATTTATTTGTTATTAAATAAAAAAAAAATCACTAATACTCCTAGTAGTTAAAGACTTTAAGCCCGGTTGGTATTTATCCGCGTTCTCAATAATCTGTTATAAAATAAGTGCACCGTGTCAGATTGATGAATGAATATTTGTTATAAAATAACTTTGGCTATGAATATTGGTAAATAAAATTCAAGTCAAAGATAGTGAACAAAGTCAATGCACCTAATAAAAATAAGAGGAGTATACTTCATATAGTTGTTTGCAAGGCAATGATAATGCTTGATATTGATCATTCATTATATTGAACGATGTACTTAATGCCTTAACTAATTGAATATGTTTTTATTGTATAATTGTTTGTTGGGTAGTGCTAATGCATACAATCATTCATCGAACCATGTACTTAACGTTTGATTTAATAGAACATGTTCACATTTGACTCCCTCCTTTTATATATATATATATAACAACAAACCCTTCTTTCATTATACTATAAATTCACTCTATTATGAATTATGTATCAATGTATGGGTGAGAATACATCAATATGGAGTGAGATTAATTATATACTTCCTCCATTTTTCTTTTACTGCACCATAAAGACTTTTATACTATTCATATAATCTACTTTGACCATCTTTTGTAATTTATCCATAAGGAAAAATAGTCATATGGAATGTAGTTAGATTTATCTCAAAATTTACTTTTCAAATATCAACTTTTTATAATTTTTACAAAATTATGATTAAAAATATTAATAACCAAAGTAATGCATTGACAAGCATGCATGAAATCACTCATGATACAAAAAAAAAAAAAAAAAAAAAAAAAAAAAAAAAAAAAAGTATATATATGAAAAAATGTCACGTCATATCGTCGCTAAACTAATTTATACAATGAGTTACTTGCGTTCGTTTATCACAAGTAAAATTGTCATAAGTTATTAACTAGCTTAGTTGATAAGATAGATCACCATATAAAATAAAAATATAAAATTGTCTATGTCATTGTCGTATAGAGCTCTCACTATACCAAAATAAATTAAGCTCGATTAAGGAAGTTAGTCAAAGACCGACCATAAAAATATGAAATAATTACACCCGGCAAATATGCAGGACAAACATGCTTTGTTGTCAGTTTACTCTATATTAAAACAAACGTTACGATCTAAACATACATATAACAAATTAATTAATATTTGGCAAAAAAAATATCTATAAAATTTCTTGTGATTATTATATTATGAGTTGTATCTTTAAAAAGTAGGGATTATGGCCAAATCCACTAAGGTGACCCGATCACAAATGTTGATTGTAGAACCCCTTTAGAGTTTAAGGACATGTGATGTGGGGTCTAATTATTTTGCCCTAACCATATCTTCATGCTTAGTGAAACTGCAAAGTTTCTATCTAACCTGTTTTTTTTTTCATCGATCTTACATTATCATACTTTCCGACATCTTTAGTGGTATAAATTTAGCAAGCTTTTACAACTTTTTACAATTCATCATTGTTGAATTGTTGGAAAAGAAAATATACTGAGTATTATTTATACTATCGTTAAAATAAATTAGGAAAATAAGACATCAATGACATATAGTTGTTTGACAACATGAAATGATGTGTGATTTTGTTTTAGAAGTTTTCACTTACAACAATACACTTCATTAGAAGTTAGAACATGTTCTGTTGTTAAACTTTGCCAATTTGTAGTAGGAATTAGGAAGTGATAGAAGTCCACTTGATTTGAATCATGTAAAGCACCTTCGACTTGATATCATGCTCGACTCATATGCTTTAGATATGTTCTCTCTATGTTAAATATATTAGATTATACTCGCAATATAGGGTATGTAATCCAAGTTTCATATGAAAAAAAATAAGGAATAACTAGCTTATAAGTGTGCACCTATACAATTATATTAATTGTATAAGGTTTTATGAAAAAGAGCTCAAAAACAAATCTGCATAGGCTAAACTTAAAAGCGAACTATATCATACTAATACGGACTGAAGGTGTGCTTGCAACCCAATGAGTTAGAGTTCATGGATCATCTTTAAATCTTTGGTTTGAGCATAGCAGCCTAAATGATAACACTGACACTCGTTCAAGACATCGTGAGGTATTTGGGTTCAGTTTTTGGCATAGTCAGCAAACAGGCTTTAAGGCCGTAACATGCCTTGTATGTGTGCCTTGCAAGCTCACCTTGAAAGTTGAAACCCATGTAGAAAGAGCAACCCAAAAAAAAAAAAAAAAAAAAAAGATCAAAGAATCTAGTAAAGACTACTCGATGTGTTGGTTATGGCTTGCTCTCTATGGCCACCGTGAGCCCAAACCATAGAAAGAAGCAAAGAACCTTTGAGCAGATTTTAGATGACTTGCTCAAGTAGTTACGTACTTAAATACATTAACAAAATGAAAAGTTAACACCAAGTGAATCATTTACTGTACAAGAAAATGTCTCCAAACTATGTCAAGGTTTCTACTCAATATTTTGAAATAATCAAGTTTCTGGCTTCATATATCTTGAAGATATTAATTATTGATGGGTCTTTCTCAGGTGATCATGTTTCTGGCTTCATAAATCTTGAAAAACAACACAAGCTAAGCATCAAGTAAGAAAACTCCACTGTATATTATCGATTGTCATGTTGATGATGTAATTAAATAAGTGATGTCAGAACTAGACTAGACTAGACGAAGGTAGTACAACAAACATACTCCGTATTATAGATGGAAATAATGGAGCTGTCACCTACAAACATGAGCAGACAATCAATTGCTGCGAACCTTGAGTAGTTGAGTCCGTCCACCATGAGCAAGAGAAGGCCCAAGAGCCATCTAATGCACGTGCTAAAGGTGCAAGGTGACACTTCTTTTAAATACGAGTGAAAACATTATCCATATAGCTCAGGGAACTAGTGTGAAGAAGTGCCAATACTCAAAAGATCCAATGACAAACACTATCACTTATTACCTAACATGTAGTCGTTATTTTACTTTCTGACCTAGCTCACACAGGCATCATCATGCATGTACAAACTACAAAATGTTAAAATAACAGCCAAATTGGAAATACTCTGTCTCAAACAATGAAGAGTGTATTTACTTTCGAAGCATTGTTCTCCATTCCAATCAGCCAGTCATTTTCGAGTTAACATTCACACATGTGTGGCAGGCCATCTGTCTTCTTGATGAAGGTCTAAATAAAAAAGATGCAGCATCTCATTCCCTGAACAAACAAGAAAAACAAAATTCAGAGCTAGGATATTGTAATATGACCCTCTACTATACAGAGTAGCACTTTAAAGTTAAAAATTCCCATGCTGGTTAACTTAGAGAAATGATTATATAGACCAGCTAAAAATGAAACTTAATTTTTTTTTTTTTTTAACTAAGCCAAACCACAAAATAGCATGTGGCAGTCAAGATAGCGATGTAGTAAGAATAACTACAATGAAGTGTCAATCAACACGTCTCCAGTATGTTCATCACATAA